TTTAAAACTTTTTATTTTAAAATTATAAATTATATATTTGAGACCCTTACAACAAACCCTTTCATTTGATATGTCATACGGTACAGTTTGCAAAACCTTTTTTGTAATTTCGTATTGGCGCTCCAAAAATGAGCCCCATTTTCAAAATTAATTTATTACGTTGTGTCCGTGTGTACTAAATTTCAACATCATCGCTCCGGTAGATTCGGAGCAAATTGACTGTAACAGATGGACAAACAGACACACGAGTGATCCTATAAAGGTTCTGTTTTTCATTCGGACGTACAGAACCTTAAAAATAAAGAAATGATTTATAAGTTTTATCCAAGGCTTTACCCTAAAAAAGAAAACACGATCAAGACAAAAAATTGTTTAATGCATGAAAATATGTCTTTATCTATGAAACTCATATTTTTTATAACCACGTTAACAATTACTGATTATTAGCATTATTTTTATTTACTGTCACCCTAAATAGTTCCGCAGTGCTTAATGTACATATATATTATTCCCCACCAACGTCGGATGTTTTTGAGCCACAATGTCCTACGACAACCAAGATCACGTTTTCCTCCTGTTTTTCCTTGAATAACTATCTGATGCAGTTCATATATTCCTATTTATCATCGCGCTACCAAAATAATCTAACTTTCTTATTTCAATTATTCTAAAAATCTTTCTTTCTTTATTGTACAACTGATTTTCGTTAGATACTATATCCAACAATTATATTTTCATCATTCTATGATATACCCGCATATCGAAAACTTCAATTATTTTGCACATTTTGTGAGGGTTCATGTCTCCATCATGTTCTACCCCATACTGAAGGCGTAAGACTGTAATAGACAGACATTTAAGACGATTTTTAAAGCAAAAGAAATAATAAAGTCAAATATACAGTAGAATATATGTATGTACAAGGTTTATTCATTTTTAAACATCTTTTGAAATTGTTTTTGATTATACAGTAAGACCCCGCTTAACACTGTTTCGTTTAGCGCTGTTTCGGTTTAGCGCTCTTTCATTTCAACCCGGGGATTCCCCGAAATTGTGCGCAGCGCTAGGTTTCCATGAGGTTTAGATGAGGTAAATGTGGAAGATGTCGAAGAAATAGTTCAAGAAACAAGAGCTAGTCTTTCTACTGATGAGCTCAAGGAATTAACTGAGCAAGAAGAAAACAATAATATTGATAGTAGTGATTTCGAAGAAGAGCAAAAAGAACTTTCGATGGCGTTTGTAGAAAGGAGTATGACCACTATAACTAATATTATGGACCAATTTGTTGAAAATGATCCAAATTTTGACAGGAGTTTAAAAGCAAGACTGACTTAGAATTTTATTTGTTTTTATAAGTATATTCGTTTATACTGTTTTTATTTTTGTAAGAAATAAATGCTTGGTTTTATTTTTATTAACAAAAAACACAATTATTAAATGTAATACCTAACCAATTTTCTATCCATCTTCCCCTAACTCCGTTATTTACATGTTAAGATAGCCTCGTTTAGCGCTGTTTCGCATTACGCATTTTTCTTTTTATGTTTTCGTTACGCTCTACTTTGATGGAACGTATCCTACGCGTCAAGCGGGGTCTTACTATACTTACAAGTTAAAGTTTATTCCAAATTTCAAACAGGATCCACAATCTACTAATAAAATGTTTAAAGGGTTTTTTATAGGTATTTTTTACAACCGTGCGTTTCCTGGATTTTCAATTCAACATCCTCGCCATTAATTTTCTTGGGAATTATGCGTTTGATATCTTTCTCTTTCAGATTTAAGAAGCCCTTATCACCGATTGAATTAGATATTAATGCGCCATTCCTTCAATACGCCGAATGGTCTCCAGACGGTTCTAGCGTAGTATTCGTTCATGAAAACGACATCTACTACAAGCCAAAAGTGCAAAAAGATCTCGTTTGCCGAATCACCCAAACGGGAAAGAAGGGCATAATTTATAACGGAGTGCCAGACTGGTTATACGAAACTGAAATTTTGAAAACCGATCACACGTTGTGGTTTTCATCCGATGGACAATACTTACTCTACGTTACGTTTAACGACACAGAAGTGGGAGAATATAACTATCCTTGGTACGACAGCGAAAATAACTACATACAGTATCCCAGCGTAAGGAGTTTGAGATATCCCAAGGTAAGGTTTAGCTCTTTATTATAATTGAATGCAGCGTAAACATTCTATCACTATCAACTTCTATCAACATTTTCCTTCGTCTTCCTTAGTCTTTTCATCATAGACGGTATAAAAGAAAAATTTTATACAAATTAAATATTTAATACTAGTTGTACCCGCCCAAATTGAGACGTATGAGTAGGTACAATTGTCGATGGTACATATTCCTTACATTTTAATCATGGCGATCCTCTATGTAATAAGCTAGTCTTCACACTTACCTATCCCTAATGACTTGACATAAATATGTCAATCAGGTAAACTTTCCCACTACAACGTAACCTAAATGCTTGGTACAGAGCGCTTATTTCTTCCTTGATAACAATACTTTACATATAGGTACCGATCAAAAAAGCATTTCCCACCATAGCCTAACCTAACCGCTTGGTGCATAGACATTATCCCTGATGCATATCACCTTGTATAATTATATCAATCAGGTAAACCTTTCCCACGATAACCTAACCTAAACCCTGATTGTATAGCTCTCTAAGTATGTATAACAATCATGAATACCTTTCCACAATAACCTAACCTAAACGCTTGATTCCTATAGAGCTTTCGTCCCTAATGCGTAGCACTTTATAAATGCCGATCACAGAAATATTTCCCATCATAACCCAACCTAAACTCTTGATATATAGTACTGTATATATGTCAATCAGAAATTCATTTCCCACCATGGCCTAACCAAACCGCTTGGTACATGGACATTATCCTTAATCCATAGGCCTTTCTTTGTATAGATATAACAATCAGATAAACCTTTCCCACGATAACCTAACCTAAACCTTGGTTGTATGCACTTTATATATGACAATCAAGAATACCTTTCCACAATAATCTAACCTAAACGCTTGGTACCTACATAGCCCTCATCCCTGACGCATAGTACTTTATATATGACGATCACAGGAATATTTCCCATCACGACCTAACCTAATCCCTTGATATACAGCACTGTACATATGCCAATCAAAAATGCCTTTCCCATCATGCCCTAACCAAACCGCTTGATGCATAGACATTTTCCCTGATGCATAGGTATCTCTTTGTATGATGGATATACCAATCAAATAAACCTTTCCCACTATAATCTAACCTAAACCTAGGTTGTATGCACTTTATATATAACAATCTGACAATAATCTAACCTAAACGTTTGATACCTACATAGCCTTCATCCTTGACCCATAGCACTTTATATATGCCATTAGGGAACTATTTTCCATCATGACCTAACCTAAACTCTTGATGTATAGCACTATATATATGCCATTCAGAAATACTTTTCCCACCAAAGTCTAACCTATATGCTTAGTGCATAGCCCCTACAATTTTACTTAACTTTTCCCACCACAACCCAACCTATACGATTGATATAATAATCCTTATATCCATGGTGTATAGCATTTCATCCTACCCATATAATAATCAGAGGAAGCAATAAAGGTAACGTTTTCTGCCGAAAATTATACCACAAATTAAGCGTAGTTATTACTACCAATCTAAAACTTCTAATCAATAGTAAATCAATATTTCTTTCTCCTGAAGAAGTCACTCTATCATGAAATGATCATTGCGGTCAGTAAAATACTTTGTATAAAAACAAAGGCTTTCACGGCCGGAATCCATAGTAGAATGAAGATTCGGGCTATAGGGCAGTGGTTTAAGTGAACTATTCTCCCCAGACGTTTCGTCAGCTATTGCGGCTGACATCCGCACTACCACTAAGGACGTCAGCCGCAGTAGCTGACGAAACGTCTAGACACAATAGTTCACTTAGACCACGGCCCTATAGCCCGAATCTTCGTTCTACTAAAATACTTTGTAGTTTTAATTTTGTGTTTAATTTCGTTATTATTAAACATAACGTTCGTTAACGTAAAAAAATCGATAATGTGATTTTTTCGATTTACACTATCGCGATTCCACTCTAAAACGCTTTCGTGGTTTGAAATCCTCACTGCACCAGTTACCAATAAATTTATTGTAGTTTATATCGCGTCCCCATTTTAACTTAGGGTTTTGCAACAAATCCATCTAATAATTTCCGAGAAAATTGAATGTCCCAAATGGGAGCCGTCGCAGATTTTCCTAATTTCGTGTTCACGTTCAGAGACGGTGGTATAACAGCTCACGTATCGATGATTTATTCATAGGGGCTGAAATAGTTTCGTACCTCCCTTTGTACCGTTTCTGATTGTTACGCGCTAAGGGAGGAAAAGGGACCAAAACCCTTCAGGCAATTGATATTCTTTAAGAGAAATAACGACGTTCTCTTATTGAAGTGTTTCAGGATAAGAAATAAAACTTATTTTATGTGTTCCTTCACAGCGCAAACAAAGTTTAGAACTGTTGTCAAAATAAAAGAGATAGTGTAGTTTACATGTAACGAGGTACATACATCTATCTACTTGCTTCTTGAAACCGATTTCGGTTAAGGATGTTTGGGAGGTACAATCGGAGACAAGAGTGCATAAAATTAGAAATTCGTGATTAATTAGGTTTTGCTGCATATCATGAGGTAAATAAATACGATCTATACTAAAAAAAAAGTATACGTTTTGAGAGAAAATTTGGAATTTGACCGAAAACTTTGAATAAAATAGGAAATAACGAATAATATGGAAAATATTTTGGACTTTTGGCAGTGAATATGCCTTGATTTTAACTTCGAAACAAAAAATATTTAGTTTCAATCTTTATTAATAATTAGCGAAAAACTTTTTAATATGTTTAAATAATAATTAAAACTTTAAAATTGCATTTATTTCAGACAATTATAAATATTATCATTATATTATCAAGTAAAAACGAGATTTTCAGCTAATTTTTCATTTTTTCCTCGATAACCATTTAGTGAATTTGAATAACCTTACGCTAAAGTGATTCTCCAGAGTTGAAGTTACTTATTATAAAACTTTGAAAGTTCTGGTAGCTTTTTTTCTGTTAATAAAAATAAATTTGGTCTGTTCGGTTAACGAATCTCCATAAAATGACGTGTAAAATTACCATTTTTTAAAATTTCAATAACTTTTTAACGATTTAGTCAATCGATTTGTAATTTTTACAGGAGTTTTAGAATTGAATGAGGAACGTTCATCCTAATTTTTATTAGTCTTGTAGCATTTTGACATACCTTCCAAACATCCTTAACAAAACTTGAATACTTGAACTTCTGAATATATTTTAATGAAAATAATTGATGTTCAAAACTGATGCTGTTCTAATTCGATCTAAAGCTTCTTCAGAGGTCCTTCCATCTCCGAGATGAATTCAGTTGTACCTTATAGTTTCAATAAATTTTAAATGCTTGAATAGATAATACTAAAATAAAATTAAAAAGTTTTCGGTTATCAAAATCTTTTCCTAATACTTTCTAATTTGTCCCATCAAAGCGCTATTTAATTTTATTATGAGACAGAAATAAATTAAAATCTTTATTAATTTTCAAATTAGATCAACCAAACTTACCATATCCTAATCCCATATTTTATAAATAAACCTATGATAGATAGTATTAATGTTGTAAAAATCTGAGAAAATATATAAGTTATCAATTTTTAACAGTTAAATACCTCTTTGATGCACAAAAAGGGTAAAACTTTTCAATTATTAGTGATACCTCAATAGAAACATAAATGTGAAAAAGACGGGAGGCATGTTCGGTACCAACGGCGTTGTTGTTGTTAGCTTTGACGATAAAACAGTTAAAAGTTAAACAAATATAAAAATCATTTCATAAAAACGCAAAATTGAAAAAGAAAACAAGTCAGGCATACACGATTTGAAATCTAATTTATGTATCAAAATTTACAATGGTCAAAAAGGAAATTCCTTTAAAAAACGAACTAACCAAACAAATGTAGATACTGGGAATCTTGTTTAATATTGTTTAATTCTTTGATATTAATTTATAGCGTAGGAGGTTTTAATAATCAATTAATAATTACTTATATTTTTCAAGACTCTAATTTTGCCAATAAACCAACAATAGTTCTGGAGTGAACTTTTTATTTATTACAGTGCGACGTTTCGGCCGTCAATTTCAGTCATCATCAGGCTTTATGAATATCACACTGTTCTTGTATCACATCGTAAGCGTATTCTGTGAACAAGAATCAATATATTTTTAGTTTTGGTATTGTTGGTTTATTAGCAAAATTAGAATCTTGAAAAATATTAATTGTTATACAACNAACTACTTTTTGTTTAATTAGTGCATCATTTTCAGACAATGGTTTTATGCAAATTGTTGTTTAATTCATGCAATATTTTCAAACAAACATATGCAGATATGAAATTAACACGAATATAAAAAAGGTGTGGGTCTATCGCGGACCCTGATTTCGTCACTATTCTTTAGATAGACGTAATTTTACGACAAACTACTTTTTGTTTAATTAGTGCATCATTTTCAGACAATGGTTTTATGCAAATTGTTGTTTAATTCATGCAATATTTTCAAACAAACATATGCAGATATGAAATTAACACGAATATAAAAAAGGTGTGGGTCTATCGCGGACCCTGATTTCGTCACTATTCTTTAGATAGACGTAATTTTACGACAAACTACTTTTTGTTTAATTAGTGCATCATTTTCAGACAATGGTTTTATGCAAATTGTTGTTTAATTCATGCAATATTTTCAAACAAACATATGCAGATATGAAATTAACACGAATATAAAAAAGGTGTGGGTCTATCGCGGACCCTGATTTCGTCACTATTCTTTAGATAGACGTAATTTTACGACAAACTACTTTTTGTTTAATTAGTGCATCATTTTCAGACAATGGTTTTATGCAAATTGTTGTTTAATTCATGCAATATTTTCAAACAAACATATGCAGATATGAAATTAACACGAATATAAAAAAGGTGTGGGTCTATCGCGGACCCTGATTTCGTCACTATTCTTTAGATAGACGTAATTTTACGACAAACTACTTTTTGTTTAATTAGTGCATCATTTTCAGACAATGGTTTTATGCAAATTGTTGTTTAATTCATGCAATATTTTCAAACAAACATATGCAGATATGAAATTAACACGAATATAAAAAAGGTGTGGGTCTATCGCGGACCCTGATTTCGTCACTATTCTTTAGATAGACGTAATTTTACGACAAACTACTTTTTGTTTAATTAGTGCATCATTTTCAGACAATGGTTTTATGCAAATTGTTGTTTAATTCATGCAATATTTTCAAACAAACATATGCAGATATGAAATTAACACGAATATAAAAAAGGTGTGGGTCTATCGCGGACCCTGATTTCGTCACTATTCTTTAGATAGACGTAATTTTACGACAAACTACTTTTTGTTT